ATTAAAGTATAATCTGTTTCATTCTCCACCCATGACATTGGGACACAAAAGAACTAATAATAAAAACAAAAACAAAAAGGCAACAGAGACGTCGTTCCTTTCCAACAAACGCAATTATAAATAACTTCCTATGTAATTAAGGTAATTAAAGATAATTCCCATTACCTCAACCTTATTTCTTGTGTGTGTATTTGTGTTCTTAATCCAGGTGGCGCACTTCCCTTCTGGTCTCATTTTTAGTAAGTGCAGTCAGAAGTGTGTATTATTTGCATTTCCCTAATTAATTTCCATTATGATTCACTAGACACATGTTTTTTTTCAGAAGGGTGAACTGTCCAGATACCAACCCTCCCTAGTTATCTAAACTAATCACCTCAAACTAAATATTCGATGCTGCTGATTTCACATCAAAATAGGGGATAATTTTTTTTTTCATATTTTTTTCAAGGTTAACAAGATATCTGTTCTTTGTAATTTCAACAATTAATATTTATGTCTTATTCTCAAGGTAACATTTCCAACAGGATCACCTCAAAAAAGCAGCAGCTCAAACTACAATAAATACATAACAATGCCCTATCAAAAGATACAACAATCCCTTATGAAATACACAACAAGCCTCCCTCAAACATACAAAAAAAAACCCTATCAAGACTGAATGTAAGTACTCACCGATACTTCTTGCTCGAACGAATACTTTTGGGAGAGGATCTGGTCTCTTTCCCTCTGGATCTTCTCCTTATTGGATCTTTCCCCTCGTAGCTCCTCCTGAACTGCCATCATCTCTTGGTCAAACCTTTTCATAGGAAGAATAAGAAGAAACATTTCATTAAGTTTCCCATTAAGTAGCTTTGTCTAGTCTCATTTTTCAATTGTTTTACATATTTAAAGCAGGGGTAAGTTACAGTATTCAAAGTTAAAGGGAAGAAAATATTTATTAAACCAAATCCATAATCAGCTCTTCTCAAGATTATATAATAAGAGTCATTATAAGGGGGCTTTTTATAAATGCATAAATAAGGCTTCTGAGATAAAAAAAAGAGAAGAAAAGAAGAGAAAAAAAAATATTCAAACTCTAACAAAACACTGTCATCCATGAGACCATAATCAATGTCCAACTTCTTGAATACTTACTTTCTCTGCTTCTTTTCCAGGAGATTATTACGCGATGTCTGTTCCTCCAGCAGTATCTTCAGGTCATTCATTTCTGCTTGGAGTCGTTGGCACTTCCGCTTCATCTGTGCCACCACCTGTCGTTGTTCGTCTGTTTCCTCATATGCATCTGCCACCTGAGGGAGAGAAGATTATGGAATTAAGTAAAATTTTGGTAAAATAATCTGTCTGTCAAAGGACTTTCCATACTCTCTATTTATTTTGTTAAAAACTTTTCATGACATTTTAAATTTCTTTATCTCTATTATAATCTGATCAATTTTCACCTCTTTTTGACTCTTTTCTTTTATAATCAAAATGGGTTTTAAATTCACCAACACCTAAATGAATGATTTAATAATCAATAAGATTAAATTCTTTGTCAAGTTTTGTAATGGTCTAAACCTAATTTCATTTAATTTGATAAATTTTTTGGCATGAAACTGTTTTCTATAGCTAAAAGTTTTGAGAGATTCATTTACATATGATTGAATCAGAAAAAAGGTCAAGTCAAATTAACTTTAAAAATTTAACTCAAAATGAGTTCAGTCATGTGAACTATTCAATAACAGAGAAATAAAAATTATGTTGGCATCACCTGTCACTGTCTCTAACTACACAGATACGGTTATAATACTTTTTTTTCTTCTCAAATAATCATACTGTTCAGTTAGGTTAGGCTAGCCCTTAAGTATAATTATAAAATAATTTTCTTAATGCTGCTGCTAACAGACTGCCATTGTTCTGTTGGCTTTAAACGACAAATCATAATATCAATTTGAGCAATACTGATAAGTGATTTCCAGTGTTAAGCAGTAAAGTACATAATGTCAATAATTGTTGCTAAGATTATTAAAATACCTGCCTCTGTAATAATTGTTTCCCTTTTTTGTGAATATAAATCCCTGGAAAACTTTTAAAGGTAATACATAATTTATATTGAGTGATCTTCCACCAACCAATGGTTTTATTTGTCATTTCAAATCAACAACTACTCAGGGTAGGATCATTATAATTCTGCCAAAACAAAATGATTTGAACATAAAAGACATCCTATAGCTTCATGGTCCCCATCGATATGTTTATTGAAAAACTGCCCTTCGCAATTTGTCTGAACTGTCATTCAGCAGGAATTATTTGTCTCCCAAATATTCATTGCTAACTTTAAAAGGATACTTCACTTTGTTGGGCTTGTGCATCTTAAATGGTAGGAAATATACTATTTATTTGGCTGTTCATCTTTTCCATTCATTATTTGCATTTTTCTTTATTGCCATACTGAAGATGCTATATTAGAATTCAATGCAACCCATATAAAAAATGCCATTGATGTCAACCTTAATGGACCAACCTTAACTAGAGAACTTGCTTGCCAATGATCACAAAGAAAGATTAATTCACAAACCTTCTTCTCCAGCTGTTTCTTCATTAGGACAAGCTGATCATAATCATCCTCCTGCTGTTGCTTCAACTGCTTCTTCAGGACCTCAATCTCTCGAAGGCACCACTCATACTTCCTCTTATACAAAGAGGCCTCTTCACCATAATCATCATCGTCTGCATCTCCGTTGAGATCCGCTGCCGAGAGGACTTCTGTGCGGAGTGCTAGTTTCTCCATCTCGAGTTTACCATTCTCTGTTGTCATGCGCCTAACATCCGTCTGTAAAATATCCAGGAAAATTTGGTAATTTGTTCTCTCTTTGTATTATTCAATTCTAGATTCACAGACTGCTTGTAACTATCCTTTCAATAAGTTAATTCAGTCACAAATAAAAGACTGTATAATTCCACTGCACCCAAATAACAATCATAACCAGTTCTTCTAGTTACCTGCAGCCTGTCTAATTCCTTTTCTAGCTTCATTCTCTCTGCCTGTTCAGCTTCCAGCCTCTCTCCTGCCAAGTGTGCTGTGGTATGCTCTTCTGAGAGGTCTGCTGCTACCTCTGACAGCTGTTTAATAAGGAAGGAACTTTTAGAATGGGAAATAAACACAGTATCACTTATAGTTAGATGGATTTTGATATTTCCTACTCCACACAAATCATATATCTAAACATGAAAAGCCTATCTCAAGTCATGAAGGTCTCCACAAATTGTTAGAACTCTGCTAATAGCACTAATACTCAATAAATATGATATAGAACTAGCCAGTAATAGAAATGAAAACTCAACTCAAAACTAATAACACATAGATATTCACATATTAGAATTATTGATGTCAATATACTTAACTTAACATGATATTTTAAAAGATATGTGAATAGTTAATACAACTTAAATTTCTGTCATATGAGTAGATGTAATTCTTTATAATGTTTATATTTGTAAGTAAACAAATTGTCTACTTAAAATGTAAAAGCTGTGAATGAACTGTGCAGCTTTTCAAAATAAAATGTAAGTAAACAAATAAAAAATTATAGTACTTGAAGCAAAGGAAAATAAAGATAAGAAATTGCTGAACCATAAATCACTGCAATGAAAGGCTGTAAAATACATATATTATGAATATGAGACCAAGGTTTGAAAACACATTTGTGATTAGTAAAACCTCTAAAATATCTGAAAGGAGTAAACCACCAATTAAATAAAGAGAAAATATATAAAAGTAAAGGAGCTAGTGTACGCAAATTTGGCAGCTTTCTTCTGTCATGTGGCCTTCACATTACAACTTACATTGCACAATATTCCATTTCTTTGGAGCTCACACTTAGCTTCCAATACCATCTGCGCAGACTGGAAGTGAACAAGGTATGTGAACATGTTAAATTAAAATTTAACACAATACATAGTGGATACAGGGTATGTGGTATAGCACTCTACACTAGGGAATTCTTAAAATAAATCTACAACATAAAACTACAAAATTATCGAGGTCTACACACACACACACACAGACTACAAAAAGGGAAGATAGGATTTATGACAAGCAATTTCAGACACTACTTGATTCCCAGGTTTTTAATTTCCCCCACTCCCTAAGGGGTATGTGTGGGTTGTAGACCTACTTTATGCAGTGCTGCTGCTGATAGAGAACGGCTATAAGACCTTCTGAGGGACTTGTTGGACCGAGACCTTTTGAGGAGCCGGTCTGTCTCGGAGAGAAGAGCTTCAGTCTGCGCTACTACAGGTGATGGTGTGCAGGATCTCTCAGAGCGATCCATGGGAGTGCGAGAACGAGACCGTCGCTCTCTCTCTGCCTGAACATCTGGGAGAGGCATCAAGATATCGAGCTGGGTAGGATCTACTGCACTAGGGGATAATGAATGCAGTTGGGATGGGTCAATGGCATCAACATAAACCTCTTCCTCGCCTTCCTCTCCTATGCAAGTTGTATGGTTCTTTTCTACATGTAACTCTATTTTTTCACTCAAGGGTATAGGTCTTTCAATATCCTTCAAGGGACTGGATGGTGCTGATGCAGCCGAGGTAGAAGGTTGTGGAGACATGCTGTCAGGCCCTAGGAGAGCCGATGCTTCCCTTATCAAAGCTTCCACCTCTGATTCCAATTCAGGAACAGGCTTTCCTAATATTTTCATGTTTATTTTATCATCCATACTTTCTTCAGGCTTTGGAACAACACTTGGCTGTGGTATACTAGGCTGTACTGGAACAGATTCTCCCAGAGTTTTTGTACCTATGCCAAAGGCCAATTTAGTTTTATTGACTGCCCCCATAACTGCTCCCCTGAGGGCCACACTTCTTTTACCCTTCTTTTCCTCATGCCTGCTTTCTTCATGATGTTTCCTCGCAGGTTTTTGCATGATGGCCTGGTTCACATCTATTCCTTGATTTTCTTCTTTCACCAACTCAGGTAATTTAAATACTTTAGGCCTGCAGCCAGTCTCTTCAGGTGTTTTAGGTGTCTCAGGAACAACTTCTGCAGCTTTGATCTCTGATTTTGTTTCTACATCTTTTACTTCCTTCAAGGTGACAGGAGTACTAGAAGTTTCATCCACCTTAGGCTTTGTATCGGAAACTTCAAGTGACTTGTTTGAATCCTTGATGCCACCTGCTATCAAATCCTCAATCTTTCCTGCACTAAGTTCTTTTTGGGAATCCATACTTGGTGTCCTGATTCGTACTTTCTTCTTTTCTGTTATAATTGTTCCAGCATCAGTGCCTTCATCAACCTTTCCTTTGGTAGCCATACTTTCATCTGTTTTTATCTTGGCTTCCTCCATCTTATCTGCCTGTACTTTGGTATCTGCCACCTTGTTCGTCTCTGCTTTAGCATCTTCTACCTTATCTCTCTTTACTGCAGCATCATCTACCTTATCCATCTTTACTTCAGCATCTTCTACCTTATCTCTCTTTACTGCTTCTTCCATCTTATCTGTCTTTACTTTAGCATCTGCAACCTTATTTATCTTTATTTTGGCATCTACTACCTTATCTACCTTCACTGCAACATCTTCTACCTTTTCTGTCTTTACCTTAGCATCTTCTATTTTATCTGTTTTTACTTTGCTATCTTCTCTCTTATCTGTCTTGACCTTAGCATCTTCTACTCCATCTACTTTTACCTCACTATCCGCTGTTTTATCTGTCGTTTCCTTGGTATCTGTGACACCATCTTTTGATTTATCTATTTTCACCTTCAAATCCTCTCTCTTAGCATCCTTAGTACCATCCATCTTTAGCATGGTATCTTCTATCACTACCTTGGTATCTTTAGTTTCATCTGTCTTAACCCCGATATCACTTGTTTTGTCTGTCTTTACCTTCTGATCCTTAGTTAAATCTTCCTTTAATTTGGTATCATTAGTAGATTCACCTGTCTTTGCCTTGACATCATTAGGTTCACTTGTCTTTCCCTCGGTATCTTTAGTTTCCTCTGTCTTTACCTCCATGGCCTTCATTTTATTAATCTTTAACCTAGCCTTTAACCTTAGTTTAGCCACTTTTTCACTGGCATCTATTTTTTCCTTAACTTCCTTATCCTCACCAATCTTGGCCTCACAAATTTTCTCTGTTGTAACCTTAACATCCTTAGTGTCAAGTGGCTTAGTCTTGACAATGGCTTCCTTTTCTTTATCACTGATGTCATCCCCTTTTGGTTTCTCATCTGTGACCTTTGAAGAAACTGTTTCATTTTCTTTGACTTTTACGTTAGTTTTCTCCTTAGATTCTAATGATGTGGTTTTGGCATCAGTCCTATTATCCACTTTTTCTTTGGCAAGTGTCGTGTCCTCCGCCTTGTTTTGTTTGGCATTGATACCAGCCTTGTCATCTGTTGCCTTACTGGGAGGTTCAGTGATTGGCTTCTCTTGAGAGTCTGTGCTATCCTTTGTCTTATTCTTGAGGTCTTTACTCTCATCTTCTTTGCTTGAAATATTTTTACTTTCAGCTGCTTTTGTTATTTCATCCACTGCTTTAGTTTTCTTGGCTTTTTCACTAGGAATACCTGTTTTGTCTGTACCATCCACAGTTTTTGATGTTATCTTTTCCTTTTCATTGACTGGAATACTGCTATTATCCACTTTTTCTTTGGCAAGTGTAGTGTCCTCCACCTTGTTCTGTTTGGAAATGATACCAGCCTTTTCATCTGTTGCCTTACTGGGAGGTTCAGTGATTGGCTTCTCTTGAGTGTCTGTGCTATCCTTTGTCTTATTCTTGAGGTCTTTACTCTCACCCTCTTTGCTTGAAATATTTTTACTTTCAGCTGCTTTTGTTATTTCATCCACTGCTTTCGTTTTCTTGGCTTTTTCACTAGGAATATCTGTTTTGTCTGTACCATCCACAGTCTTTGATGTTATCTTTTCCTTTTCATTAACTGGAATACTGTTAACTATAAGGTCCTTGGTACCAGACTCAGCTGACTCCTTTACACCTGCCTTTTCGATTACAGCGCCTGAAGAACTCTCTTTGCTGACTATCACTAAATCTGTTTTATCCTTTGAACCACCAGGAGACTTATCTTGCAGAGCATTTGCAACATCTTCTTCAATTGATTTTTCTGCATCTACAACTTTCTTTTTCTTCTTTTTCTTACTGACTTTTGCTTCACTCTCATTAACAGATACATTTGAATCTACAGAATGTATGTCTCCATTTGGTATAACCTCACCCTGATTACCTTTAACCTTTTCCTGAGCATCCTTTAAATCCTTGTTTTCTGCAGCTCCACTGCTATCTTTCTGATTCAATTGCTCTTTTCCTTTCTCAGTTCCTGGGTCTTTGGCTAGAGTTTTCTCTTTATTGATTACATTTTCTGTTGCTTCATCCTTTAATTTTGTTGCTGTGTCTTTGCCGCTTTGTCGTTTTCTCTCAGCCTCTTTCTTGGGATCACCTGGCTTTCTGGTAAAGCTTGCAACACTTCCAAACTTTGAGGTGTTGATTCCCCCAATATTTTTCTTTGGAACCGGATCTGGTGGTCTTGGTTCTGGGTTGAATGGTGGACTATATGGGTTCTTGAGTTTGCTAAGAATATTATTCTTGTTATCTGCAAGTTCATTCTTTGCACTGCCAGTATCCTTCCCAGTTTCAAATTTATTGGCAAGTCCAGTTAATCTGCCAATTTTGGGTGTCTTTGCTCTATTACTTTTCTGTGACACTTGTGAAACCTCTTCATTCTCCCACTTATTCATGATCGAAGCTAGTTTATCACTTCTACTGCGTCTTCCTGACTTCTGAGAATAATCTGGAGATACTGCTCTTGAAAGATCACTAGCCACTGAACTGCATCTACTACTTCTCTCGCTGAACACTTCCATCTCTGAGATCTCACTGTCCAAGAAGTTCTCTATATTTGCAGCTGGGTCATTGTTACTAGATTTTTTATCTTCTTTGGAATGACCTACAGGCTGGGCTTTATTTGCCTTTTGTGTGACCTCTTCTTGTTTCTGACTTTCTACTAAAATTCCATTTGCCATTTTGGATTGGTCAACACTTTCAACATTTTCCTTTTTCACTGCTGTATTTGATTCCTGGTGGACAGTTTCTTTACCACTTACACAGTCATTTTTATTAATAAGTTTATTTGGTTCTGTCTTACTGCCATGACTGATCTGCTCTGTGGGCTTTGGTTCGACTTTATTTGAAGCAACCAATGCTCCTTTCGTCTTCTCTGACTGACTAACTCCATCTGAAGGGGCAATCTGAAGTTTCCCAGTTACCACGGCTGGAGACTTTATGCCCAACACTACTGCTTTGTCTGGAATTGGACTTCCTGCTCTTACTTTTCGAGATGTATCTGTTTGTGGGTTTACCGGATTCGTTGTGGATTGTTTCGTTTCCTTTTCAGTCGTCTTATGTTTCGAATCTGGAGTCGTGTTGTCTTTCGTAGTGTCGATTGTCTGTGGTTTCTTTACAGAGGCCACACCAGATTCTGCTTCAGCATGGAGTTTTGTTTCCTGCTTTGTCTCCCTGGTAACAGTGCCAGTCGTTTTGTTATCAAGGACGGCAAGATCTGAGACAGGTAAGGTTTTATCCTCTGGGGAAATGGCTGGCTTTGGAGCAGAATCTACAACTGCAGGTTTTACTGTCTCTTTGTCAGGAACTGTTGTTGGTGGCTTAGGTGCTGGATATTTCTTGAATGATGGTGCTCGTGCGGCCTTTTTGCCATCCCCTATATTCTGTGGTTGATTCAATGGGTCAGATGGTAAGGGCACAGGTTTCCTTTCTGGAACTGCCTTCTCAGAGGCTTGGCATTCAGACTTAGCTGGTGGCGAAGTGGAATCTCCATGTGCAGGATCTGTTCTGTTTGGCTGAAGTGGTTCGTTCGCATTTTGCGTCGCAGAAGGAGGTTTTGGCGCAGGATATTTTTTGGGAGCACTGGGTACCTGCTGTTGTTCTTGAAGGATTTTCTTTGGCAAAGTTCCATTTCCAATTACTGCAGGAGTTTTCTGTGCTTGTTGGTCTGGTCTGTTGACTGGGGTAGCAGCTGCCTGTGATTTAAGGTCCTTGTTCTTGTCTGCGGCACCAGCACTGGGAGCCAGCTTAGAAGCCTCCACATTCTTTGCCACAGAACCTGGTGAAGGTTTGGCTGCAGGTGCATGTTGCTGAGCCTGTGCATTGCCCATAGGCCTGATGCCTTTATTCACAGCTGGTAAGCTTTGGCTGTGGGTGGGTGGGAGGTAAGGTGCCTGGGGGGGCTGCTGTGGAGGGGGTTTGGCTGGGGTCTGAGGGGGTGGGGGCTGCTGACGGAGGGCTGATATCGCCACAACATCGAAGTACTCGTCGTCACTGTCGGAGCTCAGGTCATCCAGCTGTGGGCATGGGGCATGTCAGTCCTCTATCTATGGCCTATCAGCATGCCTCAAAGTACTTTCATTAACATCTTCAAAGTTTAGAAAAAAATGATCAAACAAAAATGTAAAAAGCAAGAAAAGAAAAATTCATGAGTTATTAATTGCAAGTAAATGAAGATAAAGAATACAAATTATTCACAAATGACCTTGCAAATGCTTTATACTTTATTTTCCAGACATCACAAACACATAAAACTTACATATATATATAAAATAAAAAGGCTTCATGCAACACACCTACATACCACACAAGAAAAACATATTACAAGGAGCAATCAATACATGAGATTATCTAGTACAGAATGGAAAAAAACACCCTCTGTCATGCTGTACAGAAAAACAGTATCACACAGTATTCAAAAACAACAAAAATGTCTAACAAATCAAATTCACATCTAGTAAAACAAAACTTCGGAGGTAATAGACAGTCTAAAACTACCCTCATTCACGTTTTCAAGATTATAGATAACATAATGATCATAAACCACAGGGGAATAATCTCCCCTCTTCCTCGCACTTCTCCGGTCTTTCCCAAAATACCCAGTCATGCAAATTTAGATGGCAAGAAGGGGTATATGGGGCAAGGTCTTCTTAATTGATTTAATCAGCATTGAAAGCTCGGCAAACTTATCTCCTATAAAATAGAATAAAGAAAGGGGCCTTGATGAAAAAAAAAAACAAAAAAACACGAGGGTAGGAGAGTCAAGAAGAGGGTATATTAAGAGTCCTGGAGAAATTTGAGCGAAAAGGAGGGAGTGTGTCACGTGTGCAGCCGCGCGGCGACCATGAGAGGCATGGGGCATAAAATTGGACGACTGACTCACGCCGCTGACAATTAAACAAGGAAAACACGCGAACTGCGTGACTGCCACCGATGCTAACTTAGTCTGCCTCTGACGTCACGCTCTTTCCGCCTTCAAGATCTTCAACAAGAGTAAACTGTAACCCAAGCATTTTGGCGCTTGGAGATACGGTTGACAATGGTTCATATAATGCAAGGCAAGGATCAAAGGCCGCAAAGCTACACAACCGTGGAAGTTATGATACTAGAGCTGAGACCTGCAGCCGGTAAGACGTTAAAGCAAATTATATTTTCAATCTTTCGGTCAAGCGCTTCTTTAAGAAACGATGCCTTATAAACGTAATAACCAAATGACTGCAGCTCTGTCACTTGTGCATGTCAACCTGCAGATACCTGTTAATGACGCCTGCCACTGCGCTAATCATGACAGATTGCCAATTCTGAAACCTCGAACCTGCTGTAGCATATTGTATTCCTTTCTTAACATTGTTGAAAGCTATTTATTTTTGGGCTTCCCCTGTATCCTCCTCGTTACTTTTCAATAAAAAAAATCCACATCTGTTAATCATCAAAATTCAAAACGCGAAATCTTCAAGTGCGGTATTCTTATCTCATATTTAATCACTCTAACAGGCATGTAGGAGAACGGCCTTGTACTGTATGAGTTGCGTCTGTTCGGGAAGGCAGTACGCGAGTGAGTCAGGAGAGAGCGAGTCTGGGAGAAACGAAGGGAAGATAGGGCAGTAAGGAGAGGGGGAGAGGAAGAAAAGGAAAGAGGAAAAGATGAAGACGGCAGAGAGAGGAGAGAGAAAGGAAAGGGAAGGGGAAGGCGACAACGACACAGAGAGGGAGAGAAGGGAGAAGAGAGCGGGAGAGACGACAGAGAATATGAGAGAGAGAGAGAGAGAGAGAGAGAGAGAGAGAGAGAGAGAGAGAGAGAGAGAGAGAGAGAGAGAGAGAGAGAGAGAGAGAGGGGGGGGGGGATGAGAAAAAAAGAGAAGAGACAGAGAGAGAGAGAATAAAAGAAGTGAAAAAAGAAAAGAAAAGAAGAGAAAGATGGAAGAAAGAAGAAAGAAAAGACAGACAGAGACAGAGAAGAGGGAGAAATGAAGAAATACAAGATACAGAAAAGCGACGGAGAGAAAACGAACATCACCTCATTAAATTCAAGTGGAATGCAAGGATAGGGGAAGAGAGAGAGATAGAGGATGACAGGAGACAATATACACAGTTGGCAAAGAAAAGGGTGACTCACACCCCTCACAAGAACAATGTGATGGCAAGAATACACTAAGGGTGTCCCCCATGCCCGTGTGTGTGTGTGTGTGTGTGTGTGTGTGTGTGTGTGTGTGTGTGTGTGTGTGTGTGTGTGTGTGTGTGTGTGTGTGTGTGTGTGTGTGTGTGTGTATGTGTGTGTGTATGTGTGTGTGTATGTGTGTGTGTATGTGTGTGTGTATGTGTGTGTGTATGTGTGTGTGTATGTGTGTGTGTGTATGTGTAAGTGTGGGTAAGTGTGGGTAAGTGTGGGTGTGTGTGTGGGTGTATGTGCGTGTGTGTGAATGCGTGGGCGTCCTTGCCTATATATACAAAATAATGTAAATATTAACGCTCAACGTGTAAAAGATAAACAATGTATGGCGTTAATAAAAATGTGCAAGCGATGAAAGCATCTTGTGCGGCAGCGTTTGGGCCATTAAATAAATTTGACTTGTGTACGTGCATGGCGGGATTGGCAAGCACATGCAGTAAACAGGAAATATGTCTAGCAAAAAGAAAGATCAATCAAAACAAGAAAAGTTTTAGAAAAGAAGAGAAAAAAAAACTAAAAAGGCTGGATGCGATGAAGGTAAAAAGCTTTTTTTGCAGATGCACAAAAAGAACACAAAATAAACCCATTAGCGGTTGAGCAAACTCCCACCAACCGCTGTAATAACACAAGCACACACACACTTCCGACAACAGTAAATGGGGATGGAGGAAAAGGGTTTCATCCACTAAACGTATTTCGAGAGTGAAAAGGATGCACAATAGACAAATCATCACACAATCTCCTCCGGACACCATGCACGAGGGTGAAGAATACACAATCACCCCCCCCCCCCCAAAAAAAAAAAAAAAAAAAAATCGATCAAGGACTAATGTTAAATGCAAATATCCACATATTTATCCACATCGTCCAGTTTTCTCACTCCACCTGTCTTTCTCTCTCTCTCTCTCTCCCCATCTTTCTCCCTTACCCGGGTTGGGTCGAACGGCGTGTTGCATTCTGTGGCGCCGTCAACGTCGATGGCAGACAGCTGCGGACAGACAGACCAACACACGACCATGAATGCTAAAACTCCCAACTTACAGAAGCGGGGATTCTGAAGAGGCTCGAGCCCTGACATCAAACACTCCCTTCTTAACACTAAGGAATCTAGGGCTAAGAGAGGCCTTATGCTAAGGGATAAGAAAGTTGACGTTTAGAAGTTCACTAGATGGAGAGGAAATGCATGACTGCCAGGCACACGTTGCACTCAGCGCGCAAGCAAAGCCGACGGAAAAAGTAAAATAAAATGAAATAAAAAAAGTGGTACAGGTATAACAGGGACCTTACGGGTAGGACGGAAAACAAAGATACGCAGATGAACAGACAGGCAGGCGGACAGACGACCAAACGAGTCGGCTGTCAGGCGGGAACGAGACGGGCCTCTTGTCTCGTAAAATAACTTCGCTCCATTACACAATTAATTTCAATCTGTGAGGGTCGAGGGGGGGGAGGGCACGGGTAGAGGTAGAGGTAGAGGTAGACGGGGGCCGGGGGCAGGGGGCAGGGGACAGGGGGCAAGGGACAAAGGACAAGAACGAGGGGCAGGGGGCAGGACACGAAAAGCGAAGGGCAAGAATAAAAAGAAGAGGAGCTAAAGATGACACAAGGATCGAGTCCGTCACCCAACAGTCTAACAACCGGAAGTCCTATGACATTAAACATGATGGTAACGACTTTATCACCTAATGCGCCCATGATTCATATGCAATGACAGACAGAGGTACAGTACATCACCGGCCGAAACAAATCCAATTTACTTTTATATCCTAATCATCAGAAAATATCTCCATGAAAAAGAAAAGAAAGGACAAATATCTAGACACTGAAGGGCCGGGGGCGTGAGGCCGCACGAGCCACCTACAATGGGCAGGACGGTGGAGACAATGGAGAACATGCTGGCTCCGACGCGGCTGCACGGGTAGCGACGACACTCCACGGGGGCGAGGCAGTCGGGGCCCCCCGCCCATCCCAGCTGCTGCTACGGCCGCCCTTGCACGCTCGCAGATTCTCATGGTGAGGAGACCCCTCCAGAGAAGGCGGATTCCCCCCGGTCACAAGGCTCGAAGCAGATCAGCGGGCGGCCTCGAAAGGTCAGACCTGGGCGGTCACGCCCGCCGCATCCGCCTCGTCAATGCAACTCGGAAAAAGAGAGAAGCCCCTGCTAGGCCGCGCGTCCTGGCACTGGCACTACGTGTCCGCGCGAACACACACACACACGCGCCCGGCCTTGCTCACACAAATAACATCATCCACAGCCCACGGCGCCCACGGCCTGCCCTTTGCTTGGAATCCTGGGCGCCTTCCTGGGAGAAGAATGAAGAGGGGCGGGCGAGGGGGAGGCGAAGGGGAGGCGGAGGAACACCTTGGACCACCTGGCGTCTCCCTCAGGCCGAGCTCGCACACTGAGACAGGGCCTGCTCGGAGTGCCAAGGCGAGGCCCATGCCCTCGCCCTGGCCCCACGCCCGGATGCAAAAGGCTCTCATGACGAAAGTGCCAAAAGCATCATTACGGCATTACGCGGTTCTCCCCGCCCCTTGCGAGCCGCCCGACGGGCAGGTGGATTGGGCGAAGGCAAGAGAGATCGCCACGGGCGCTGCGAGACTGCAAGGATGTACGTCTGTAAGGGTGCCAGGCTGCAAGGATGCTAGGCTGCAAGGTCGCAAGGGTGCAAGGACGAGCACACCGCCATCGGAAGGAAAAACACCGTCAGGGAATCGCCAATAATAACAATAATAACAGCCTTCCTGGGCGGCAACATGGAGAATTGTCGAGTAATAATCTCTCCCCATTCGTTATCGAGCCTTCACGCCTGGCATGCCTACAACAACGGCTTCAATAAAAAGGTACAAATAATGGCAAAATAAACTGAAACAATAATATGAATCAGATCATCGAAATCCATTCAAACTGGCACGGATCCTTCCAAACACCTCGTCGTGCAGATGAAAACAAAGAAAGTAAATACACGAATAGAATAGGTATAGGTGTGTGTGTGTGTGTGTGTGTGTGTGTGTGTGTGTGTGTGTGTGTGTGTGTGTGTGTGTGTGTGTGTGTGTGTGTGTGTGTGTGTGTGTAAATATATATACCAAAAAAGAAACCGAGCATACAGAATTATATCAATGAAAATAAATATACAACAGTTATCAGAGAAAATCCGAGTCCCCCCACCCCCACAAACAAACACACAAAAAAAATCCGCATCCCTTCGTCGTCGTCAATGGAGCAGCGTTCCATCCTCCAGCACCAGCAGCGCCTCCAGCAGCCTCGTCTCGCCCATCGCGTGACCGTCACTCCATCGGGGGCGCTGCTGGCGGGCGGGCTGACCAGATGCCAACCGGGGAAAAACGCCAAGGTCGTGTCCCAGGTGCACCGTCTCTCTCTCTCTCTCTCTCTCTCTCTCTCTCTCTCCCTCTCTTCCTTCTCTCTCTCTCTCTCTCTCTCTCTCTCTCTCTCTCTCTCTCTCTCTCTCTCTCTCTCTCTCTCTCTCTCTCTCTCTCTCTCTCTCTCTCTCTCTTCCCTTTCCCTTCCTCCCCCTTTGGCAAGTCATTAAAAGCTACAAAAAGGAAACCAGATCAAAGTGACATACCCCTTAGTCCATTAGCCTTGAAAATAAACATTTTTTCATGAATCAAAGAGTTGTAGCCACAGAAAGAATCGAAGATGCCCGCGCGCACGTCGGAGCATCCGTCGGGACAGCAAGAATGGGCGTCTTGCCATCCTCGCTCGCTCGCTTTCCCGCCCTCTCTCCAAAATGACCTTCACGTTTGCTTATTAACAAACACATAAACACCTAAACACCCCGGAGGTAAACAAACAAAGCATCCAATCTCAAGCGACCCACCAAGACCTTGTTAATACGGACGCGGTGGACGTCCGTACCCAACCCGAGGTCAAGGGCGTCGGGAGGGAGATGGAGAGAAACACACGCCCTACGCGAGTCTCTTTTATCTGTCACGCGCTATTATCTCGGTCTGGCTAATGCTCCTGCAACACGGCTTATATTTAGCAATGGTCATTCTCGGCTTTTCCTCTGCGTCTCTCTCTCTCTCTCTCTCTCTCTCTCTCTCTCTCTCTCTCTCTCTCTCTCTCTCTCTCTCTCTCTCTCTCTCTCTCTCTCTCTCATTGCTCAGTGTGCTGTGTGGTTCAGCGGTAGCGATCTCGTCTAGCTATCTTGCTGACCTGCGTTCAACTCCCTCGCCGCCAGTGGATGGTAACCCCGGCCATTCCTTGCACACAGGGATAATTTAGAAGCAAAATGAAACAGACACTATGTCACACCAAGAATATCCATTGTAACAAATGGAATCAAACTCAACCTTTTAACCTTTTTAAAAAACTTCTCTCTCTCTCTCGTTCTTGGCCTCTTGCGCTCTTTATCAATCGAAAGGCCATTTTCATATCATGACTCATGCACGAGCCCAAGCACGCACGCAAGCACCGACGCACACGCACGCACGCATCGCACGCACGCACACATACGTACGTACGTACATATACATACATACATACATACACATACACACACACACACACACACACACACACACACACACACACACACACACACACACACACACACATATATAAATATATATATATATATACATACATACATACATACATACATACATACATACATACATACATACATACATACATACATACATACATACATACATACATACATACATACATACATACACGCACGCACGCACGCACGCACGCACGCACGCACGCACGCACGCACACACACGCACACACACACACACACACACACACACACACACACACAAACACACACACACATACACACACACAAGCAAAAACCTAAGCACAGGAGACAAATTCTTCCTCTTTCAATTACACACCCCTACTCTCCATCTCTCTCTTTCTTTCCCTCCCTCCCTCTCTATCTCTTCACGCACTCTCACTCCTTCTCCCTCTCTCCCCCTTTCCCTCTCCTTCCCTCTTCCCTTTCCCATTACTCTCCCTCTCTCCCTCTTCCGGCCTCGGTCACCCGCCAGACCCAGCCGCCATAACGTTAATTCTTCGCGAGGTCTAGCAGGGGGGGAAGGGGGGGGGGAGACTAAGCTGCTTAACCCTTCAGAAATATAACGAATCCTCCAGACTTACGTGCTAGTAAATTACCTAATGCACGATGACAGCTATATAGATACTTGGCACTGGCACTGGCATTCGACGAGGGGGAAAAAATACTGGCACGGGCGACTTTTCCCTTCCGGTGGAGAGACACTGAATCGAGGTGGACAAATGCTCGTGAAACGAGCCATTCTGCATTCATTAAATGGCAAACTTCGAGATTTTTCCACGTTCGCACACGCACAGTCTCTCAATCTTAATCATTCATGAATTATTTCTTCTATATCCTTCTCCCTCTCCCTCCCACCCCCCCTCCCTCCCTCCTCTCCCTCCCTCTCTCTCTCTCTCTCTCTCTCTCTCTCTCTCTCTCTCTCTCTCTCTCTCTCTCTCTCTCTCTCTCTCTCTCTCTCTCTCTCTCTCCCCTCGTCCCCATCCCCCGTCTCCCACCTCCTTCCACGAGCGCACTGCACAAATCCGAAACGGCCACGGGTCATCCCGCCACAGCCAACCCTCCCGTCCTCTCTCCGCGGACGAATGCTCGAAAGCGGAAGCAAAACGAATATAATAACGACTTCAAACATGCGCATGACACACGAATGAAGAGGTGCATGACGCCCTTGCATGAGTGACAGGCAGTCTGGGTGCGCAGGTCATGGTTCGGACTATAAATGTTTGTGTCAACTGAAAAGAAAAGAAAAAAGACAAGACAGGAGAACAGGTAGCAGAAGAGAAAGAGGAAGGGAGATGATAAGATGAAATAAGGAAGAGATGAGGATAGAGAAAGGGAGATGAAAAGAGGAGAGAAGGATAAGTAGACAGGGAGGGGGGGGGGTAGTGGAAGGGGAAGGAGAGAGAGAGAGAGAGAGAGAGAGAGAGAGAGAGAGAGA